TCAAACCGCTAAATAAAAATTTTACCAAACACTTTAGTTGTAGCGGTTTCGAAATATATAAATTTACCAAACACCTATATTTAGCGGTTTAGGTAAAACCGTTAACCGCTATCCCAAAACCGCTATACCAAACAGGGTCTTAAACATTAACCGTTATTTGCTAGTTCTAAATTATTAAATAAAAAGTTTTAATAAGCACTTAACTTGTAACAGTTTTACAATAAATAAGTTTATTAAAATATCAATTCTTAGTAGTTTAAACAAAATCACTAATTATTATTCTCAAACCTCTATACCCAACATACCCTTAGGGTACCCAACATACCCTTAGGGTAGTTGCCAAGAAAATGCACTTACTTTTGACGGTAAACAAAAGCTTTCCAAATCCTCTTATGGTCTAAAGCAAGACTCTCACATTATATTAATTTTATGTAGTTTTCAAGTTGTATTTTAAAAGTATAAATTAAAAGTATAAATTAAAAATATAATTATTATATTTTTTAATTATTAAATTTTATAAAAAAATTAATATTAATGTTAGTATTAATGTCACGTGTATTATTTTAATTAGTTAATTGTTAAAATTAAAATTAATTTAATGGTTAAAAGATATAATAATTATATCATGAGCACAAGTTAAAAAACCTTTAATTTTAAAAAGGAATTTTTTAAAAGATTGTAATTATTATATTTTTTAATATTAATTAATTTTAAAAATATAAAAATTATTATTGATTTTACCATTAGTGACATGTAGATCATTTTAATTAGATAGTTATTTAAATACAAGTTTATTTACTAACGATTTAAATAATTTAGTAATAATCTCCTTTTATTGAAAATAAAAGATTTTAAATTCAAATCACATAGTGTATGAGTAGGATGGGGTAAGGGATGAGAATGATCATCTCTCATTGTGCGAATAAGATAAAAAATAAAAAATAAATATTGATTTTTATTTTTTAATATTAATTAATATAAGAAAGACACAATAAGTATACATTAGAAAAACTCTTTTAAAAAACTTTTTTTATTTAGTTTAACTATTAAAAATAACTAATAATGAATATAATAATTAATAATATTAATTAATAGATTATTCTTTATATTCTAAAATAATAGATATTTTTTATTTAAAATTTATTCCAAAATAATAATAATTTTTTCCATATTTTAAGGGAGGTAAATATTTTTTATTTTAATCTGATAATTATTTCTTTACTTTAATTGTTCATATTATTATAAAAAAATTTCTTTATTTTTATTTTTTTTAAGGATACAATAGGTAAAATAATAACTTGTCCTCAAATCTTTAATCTCAAAATAAAAATAAAAATAACTATTATTCTAGGGTGGCGATATAGGGTAACCATTTTATACTATTTTTTATATAATTTTCACATGTTATTAATTAAAAAAGTAGATGTATTTAATATTATAAGATTTAAATTAATAAAAAGAATCAATAATTTAAATAATATATAAAATTATAAGAAAAAGTGATACAAAAGGATTATCTTTTAATTATTTTTTATTATTTTGTATCATTGAAAGTAAAATCAATTTGTAAATTAATATTTTCAAATATCAAATCTAATTATTTGAAGAAAATTATAAATTAATATAATATCAATCAAAACAAATAAAATTTATATCAACTTAATATTATTGTGAGTAGTCACAATTACGCTTAAAATTTATTTTAATAATATAATTTTCTTTGAGTGATTCTTTAACTTTATTATTTTCTTGCATCACATCATAAAAAGAAAAGGAAAAAAAAAACGCCAATATTATTACATGAGAGAGAGGAAGTTCCGAATTCAGGAATCTCCAGTCTTCACACGGAGTCGCAGGTGGGCTGTCAATATTTTTATTAAACATTTTTAAGTTATGCTAAAGTTTTAAGTCTTTATCAAAATTGTTGTAATATTTTTTTTGGTTAAATGCTAGATTTGGTCCCTCAACTATCGTGGTTTGCACATTTTTGGTCCCTTAACAATTTTTTGCACTTTTTTGATCCCTCAACTATACGAAATGCACTCCGTTAGTCCTTCTGTTAATTTCGATCGTTAACTCGTTTATGTGGCATTTTTTATTATTTTTTTGATGATGTGGCAAAAACAAACTAAAAACATGTTAAACGTGGAATTTTTTTTAT